TAAACTGTATATAAGGCTCAAAGAGCCCCTAGGAAATAGGTTATCATGTTTGATCCAAGGATATGGAGATTAGCTTCAATTCTTTAGATCAAGAACTATTCAAAAGCGTCAAAATACCCTGAGCCCTCTTATAACCGTGTGATTTCCTTGAATACGGTTAGTGTGTGCATGAGTGTGCTCGTGTGTATGTGTATATGCATGTATGTGTGTGTATGCTCTTTTTTATGCATGTTTGAGTGTGTGTGTGTGTTTGTGTGTGTAAGTTTAGGTTAGGTAAAAGTTTGTCAGAAAACAGGACAAGTGTTTCCTGACGCGGGTCTTATATGAATACCCGAAGCTGGAGGTTCTGGTCATCTCACCGAGACCTTCCACTGGCTTACCGGCATAAAAATGATAGAATTAGATGCATACTGTGTGTGAAAGAATCATCTGTGTGCTTAGTCTGGTTGTGTCTGCCACCTTGTGTCTGCCATCTCAACGATGGTTCATCACGTACACGTCACACTAGTTACCCACAATGTACAATTGACAGTATAATTATAATTATGGGGGAGCGCTCAACCCATAGGATTATACAGCGCCCGTGGGGGGGGGGGAGATGAAAGGCATTCAGGCTAAGTTCAGGGAACTGGAGCACAGATCCAATTCCCTAGATCAAGAGCCCCTCGCCAGCTTTAAAGGAACCTCCCTTGGGGGGATTTACAAAAAGAGCAGTTTACATAAACACGCTGAAAATCACAAGTCATATTTACATAATTCTTTTAATATCATTTGATACAGATTATTTTATCCTTCGTCAAATTAACCTTGAGAAATATAAATAAATTTGGGGCAGTACAGGTTTAATAAGAGTCAAACAAGAGTAGTTGTACATGATTTACAGAAATACTTAATTTACAGACATTTTTTTCTCAAAGCTATGATTGTATTTTTTACATTAAACAATAAGCTGAAAAAATTCTATGCAAATAATGTTTAAGAGTCATTTGTGTTCCTACGCGAAACGATGTATAATAATAATAATAATAATAATAATAATAATAATAATAAAAGAGACAAAGAAATTACCATTAAACAATGAAAATTAAACAAAAAATTATTCAGAACATGAAGAATACCAGAAAATTTAAACATTTATGTGATGGAACAATAATGTAATGAAGACAGTTTATGAAACCAGTGTGTACACACACACACACACACACACACACACACACACACACACACACACACACACACACACACACACACACACACGCACACACGTACACGAATGATGGTCTGTGACGAAACGTCGGAGTGAGCTCACGTGACGAGTGGGGTTACACAAGGGTCAGTGGATGACATGACAGAAGAGATAGTCAAAAGAAAAAGAATCCTTGTTCGCAGACGACGTGAAAATAATGAGGAGAATACAAGCGGACGAGGGCCAGGAAAGGCTACAAAGGGATCTGAACAGAGTACAAGCCTAGTTTAGCAAGTGGCCCCCTGGAGTTTAACTCCACCAAGGACAAAGACATGAAGCTTGGAGAAGGACAAACAAGGCCGTAGACAGAGTACAGGCTCGAGGGACAAAGGCTGCAATCCCCTGAGGCTCACATCAACCATATAACTGCTGCAGCAAATGCAAGTCTGGCAAATTGACTTCTACTTAAGGAGGCATTCAAGACACTGTACACTGTGAACCTCAGGTCCCTATTGGAGCACCCAGCTCCAGTAGGGAACCCACACCAGGTCAAGAGCGTCAAGATATTAGAGAAAGTGCAGAGATTTCCAAGTAGACTAGTTCGGATGCTAAGGGGTATGTCCTATGAGGAGATGTTAAGCGAACTCAACCTGACTATACTGGAGGAAAGGAGGGATAAAGGGGAAATGAAAGTGACGTTAATAAACTGAGAGGAATTAACAAGGTGGACAGTGACAGAATTTTTCAGTGAGGGGACACAGGAACGAGGGGCCATATCTGGAAGTTGAAAACTCAGATGAGTCACAGAGATATTAGGAAGTATTTCTTCAGCACTAGAATTGTCAGGAAGTAGAACAATCTGGAGAATGATGCAGTGGAGGCAGGATCCATACATAGCTTTAAGAGGTACGACAAGGCTCTTAAGAGTAGGGAGAGAATGGATCTAGTAGAGACCAGCGAAGAGGTGGGGCCAGGAACTGCGACTCGACCCCTGCAGCCACAAATATGTGACTATATAGAGGTAAGTACACACATACACACACTCTCACACACAAATGCGCGATACAAATGGAATAAACAGAGATAAAGAGCATCTACTATGTGAAGCTGATCTACGGAACGCACAAAACACGGAACAGGTGTAGACCTCAGTGATGTGTATCGAGTGGAAGGTTTTGATAGGGAACAGCTGAGAAACCTGTTTTTACTGAACCAAATTGAGAGGACGGTCGTGTAGATGAAGCGTTGTGTCAAGTAATAGAACAGCTGAGTGGAGAAGAAATAATATTTGAGCAACTGTGGCTAGGGAGTAATCACGAATGTTTTATGTAACATGAGGTGAAAGGAAAACCTAAAATACCTGAGGCTGAAAAAACACAACAGGAAACACCTAATGCGAGAACGTTTTACTTGAAAAAAAATCGAGAAAGGAAGATAGTAAGAAAAATAACTGATGAAAGCCTCGGTACATGAATGACTGAATTTGAGAGAATGAATCAGGTTCTGGAGCCTTCATGGTAGGGAACAAATTTAGTAGAGCTGGGCAAGGAACTTTCAGGCAACACAAAAAAAAATAAAAACTAAAGCTTCCTTCGGAAATAACTAATATGAGAGTACGGAAATAGTAAGTTTGAAACAGTAAATATATAATTATAATTATATTATTAATATTGTGTTAAAAAGCGCTAAACACTTAGAACTAAAAATAATTATAGAAAGCAATGACTGAAAAATTCGTGATACAAATGTGACAGAGTAAAAACTCAGGATAAGAAACAGTAAATATTGTTAGGTGCAGGGCAGGGAACTGAGGTACGCAGCCTGGAAACAGTGCAGCTACTATGCCAGTGCAGGGAACAGCTAGACGGCAAGAGGCGGTATATGGAACAGCTGGTGCAGCACCAAGAAACCACACGTGCGGGGCAGCTGCTGCTTAGCTTGCTGGGGCTCAGAGGACGCTGTGGTTCCTTGTGACACCCACCTGGGCTGACAGTGTGACTGAGTGAAGCTGGAGGGACGGGTGCATGGAACCTGTGCTGACAGGACATATACGGGTCTTTACGGGAGCGAGGGGAGAAGCATTGAGGAAGCATACACAGAAAGGAAAGATGGAGGGGAAGAATGAAAAATAAAAGGGAAGGAAGCATGCTTACTACTAGTGCAAGCAAGAAAATGCCGCATAGCTTTCTCCCTCCAACTAAAAACAAAAGAAATAAGCAGTAGCGATGCAAGCCTACTTTCGTTATCCCTAATGAGATTTCTACACACTCAGAAGGTGAAGTACAGAGCCAGCTTTATGACTGTACAATATAAATTATCGATATAGAGCTTTCAACATGAAATTGTTTAAAACTCTTATTTCTAAATAATATACACATAATGATGTCTGGAACAAGCAAAAACATAATCTGGTGGTGAAATACACGATATCGTTGATAACACTCAACCACGGTGTTGTCAACACCCAACCACGGTGTTGCCGTCAACACTCATCCATTGTGTTACCCAATACCATAGGCTCACAGTTGACACCCAAACATGGTGTAGCTGTTAACACCAAACCACAATGTTGCCGTCAACACCCAACCACGGTGTTGCCATCAACACCCAACCACGGTGTTGTCATCAACATCCAACCACGGTGTTGTCATCAACATCCAACCACGGTGTTGCCGTCAACACCCAACCACGGTGTTGTCATCAACACCCAACCACGGTGTTGCCGTCAACACCCAACCATGGTGTTGCCGTCAACACCCAACCATGGTGTTGCCGTCAACACCCAACCATGGTGTTGCCGTCAACACCCAACCATGGTGTTGCCGTCAACACCCAACCACGGTGTTGCCATCAACACCCAACCAGGCACGATACACACATTAGAGCCTTTATTCATTAGGAACGCTAAACATTAATTTCTGCAGCTTATATATTTGTATGTTAATACTAAACATCAGACGGATATTTACAGCAGTTGCAAGAGGGCAGTGGGGAATGACCTCAAACATTAACATCTGTTTGTGCTGACCTCAGCAAAAAGATCGTCTCGTTGTGATAAAGATCTGCGCTAACACGAAAACATTCAAGATTATTATGGTCATCAGGTGCCTTTTGCCCGAGTTGTGTCAGTGGGAAAGGTTACTAGGCATCTGTGAGGCTACGAAACCATTATGGTACGTTATAGACCCTAGCCACAATTATAAGCCTTAGGTTATAGGCTCTAGCCACAATTATAAGACCTATAATACAGGGCTTATAATTGTGGCTAGGGTAATCTGTAGGTAGGCTAAGGAGTTAATGAGGGAAAGCTAGGAGTCAGTCATTTAGGCTAGGATGTAATGAATTTGGCTAAAAGACAAAGGTTAGGAGGACGTTAAAGTATGTAGAAAATGTCTTTAGGTTGTGCTGGGTAGAGACACTTAATAGGGACCATTTCTATACATACAAAATATTTAGAGGAAATGAGCAATTCTGAATTAAGGTAACAACACTGAATGAAGCTTTAGGACTGAAGCAAAAATTGCTTAAGACCTTTACTAAATTATACCAGTATATCTCTATAAATACTCGTATGCCCTCATGTGCTATAATTTGCATGAATGTATGTATGCACGTGTATGTGTATATGCATGTATGTATGCATATATGTATATTTGTGTGTATATGTATTTATACACACACACACACATATATAATATATATATATATATATATATATATATATATATATAATATATATATATATATATAAATATATATATATATATATATATATATATATATATATATATATATATATATATATACACAGGTGTATTATACAAAAGCTTTTTAGGAGCAGTGACACTCCCACATCTCCTAGTTATACACATCACAGCTAATTCACATTATACTATATACACTCTAAGGACTTATCAATCCTTAGAGTCTAGACTATATACACATGTACTTGGATGTCACAGCCGCTTTGCAGCAACTGTCACTATGGCCCCTTACTTTGCTTAATTCATTCTTATGAACAGTCATACTGCTAGGCCCACAGTGTGCAGCGAAAGCAAAGCGAATGCACTCCAGGTTGCCACTGTATGTGGTGTGTGGAGCTCTCTTTAACAACCTTTATTAACATTTTTGTCGAGGTGAGACACATAATGCATCGGTATAAGGAACATGTACAAGTTATTTTTCCAAACAAACCACTAGAAGGTGCCTGGTTGTCGCCACCTGGCAATACTCCCCACAGTTGTTTACATCAATTTCATAAAAACCGGCATGAATTGAGTCCTTTCTGAAACATCCAACAGAAGATATCATGGTTATACCATTCAAAATAGATTACAAATCTTCCTTGCTCTATCCATAAAGACTATACAGTATATACAAATTACATAAATACAGTAAATAATAGTACATAGTGAGGTTAGCACCTTCAACTGTTACCAAGGCAACAACTGCCTCACTTCCTCTTCCTCACACCAAGGAGACCTCATCCTGACTTTCCTCGTGTTACTAAAGTACTTTGTGCTCTCTTTTATCTCACCTTCAATACACACGAATTGCCAGATATACATAATCCGCCCCTTTGAGCATTGTTATCTCCTGATCCCTATGTTTATTATATTCTTGGGCAAGCACTGAACTCACTGGCACACAGCAGTATTCCAGCGTGGAAACTGCTGTGTATTTCCTGGTTCTCTTGGAGCGACCAGATCGAAGATGTCCGAGAGTCAGTGCGTTGATGTAGCACTTACTATTGTGGTATGACACTGAACGTTGCATCGTTGACATATTAGGCAGTGCCTTCTGTGTTTCCTCGACGCCTCCAATTTCTCACGTTTCATTGAAGAGGGAATACAGATAAACAATGATTAAATAGCATTGCTAGAAACATTACTGCCAATAAAGTCGAGATCACTTATGAGGAATCTATTAACAGTGATTTTCTAACATATTTTCACATTATTGTAACAACCATAATATATCACTGTTCACATCCCATATCACTGGCGACGTTACTCCTACTTCACTGGTGACTGTCAGTGTGGGAGAGAAGCATCAACCGCCGGTCATGTCAGTCTAGGATTTACACAACTCCTGGTTCAGAATCCTCAATGAGACTCGTCCGTGCCTGAAGGCAGAAACTTACTGCTTTGCTAGACCTCACCTAACGAATATGTCCTGCTTTTAAACTGATTTTCGACTTGACTTATTCAGCAACGAACATTTTGGCCACACAAGCTGTACATATCTTCACCTTACCATTATCTCAATAAATAATCAGACGGATCATTGTGATGTTCGTATATCTTAGCGATATATTATACTAAGTAATATATTAAATAAATTTAGCAAGGTTAAGTTATGCTGCTAAAATAGTTTGGTGAAATGTTATAAATTTTCAAAAATTGTTCATTCACGTGATTATATCTATTATTACATAAAAATTTTCTTTAAGAAACAATTTAGAGTGTAATTTGGCCTGTCTAACCGACTTTGCTCATTACGGGAAGGAAGTGACGTGTACACCTCAGAGGTGGTATCATTGAATATCATCAATTGCTTATAAAGTCTGATGATGGGTACCTTATACCACTGGAAAATGTCCACTATTGACTAGTAACAGTGCTGATTACCTGCTGAGGATGGGTTTTTCACACTGCCAATCTCTGTCTCTGAAGAGAAATCCGCTGCTCGTTATAACACCAAAGCATAATTTGCATAGCTGATATTTATCCAAAAGCTGTCAGTAAAGATACAATTTTACACATACAATCCACAATTTGGAGAGGAAAACTTATTAAACGTCGTCTAAACTTCTTGTCCAAAGTGTGAATTGACTATGAAATTCTTCAGCAAGGTTACTGTGACTTTTATTCTCTTAGAATCTTCGTGGATTTTTTTTATTAATTCATTATACTGTACATAATATGATCATAAATCCACCATAATAAAGACGATGACTCAGTACCATTGATCCAAATCACATGGCCTCGTCAACTGTCATGAGCTGAGACGACAGAAATGTTTCCATGGCATTGCATGACCTGACTTCCCGTTGTGATATTACCCAGAGTGACCTGACCTCCAAGTGTTTTATGTAAATTACAATCGACATTGGCACGAATTACAAATAATTTATGCTTCAGTTACTTCCAACCATGGCACCAATTACTACTAACCGTGGCGCCAAATACTACTAATCATGGCGCCAAATACTGCTAATCATGGCGCCAAATACTACTAATCGTGACGCCAGATACGGCGCTGAAATTAAATTTGCATTAAGAGAAATTGGCGAGTGGAACTGGTGTCATAACATTTGACTCGGCCTCTTGTCTATCCCCTCATCCTCTTTTTTATAAAAATGAACCACACTTGCCATTTTCCAATCTTCTGGCACCTGTCTTAGAGATTTGTTGAATACGTAGTTGTTTTTGACCCTTCTCTCAACATCTATAGAGATGTGCTATTTGCTTTTATTACATCCAGCTCATGTAGTTGTCTCAATCACTTTGTTATGTTGATACTCTCCAGTGCCCACTGGTCTGTTCTGACTACAGAGCTTTTCTGTAGTTCTCCACTTTCTTCTGTGAAGATTTTTTTTTCTTTTCCTAACAGGTCACATACTTCTGTCAATACACAAATAACCCTCACGTAAGAGACTGAAGCTTATAACAACGTTTCGGTCCGACTTGGATCATTATCATTTGTTCCTTCACAGTCGTCTTTTCTTGTTATGTGGCTGTGGTTCTGTTTTGGTCAGTGATGTTATATAATTTTTCAAACTGCCTTGCAGCCTCCCTTTTTTCTTAAATATTCCTTTCTAGCTCTACTGCTTGCCTCTCGTTTTTGTATGCACTTGGATTGCTCTATATTTCTCTCCCAAGCCATCTTGCTCCTTTCCTTGGCCTCTCTGCATTCCTGACTAATCCATGAGCTTTGTTTTTCCTGTTTCTTTTTTCATATTTGGTAGAATCTCTCCTTTGCCTTTTGGCACTTTCATTTCGTGTACAGTTCTGCCTTCCATTTTCGTTTTGTATTCTACTTTGCTAAGAAAAATTCTCATACCATCATAGTTCCCACTTCTCTGGTCCTCTTTTCTGTTGCTTCTTCCCTTTCTTTCTTCATTCCCCTTTCCACCAGGTAATCATGCTGGTTGATTCCTATTGGCTCCCCATATTTTTTTTTTCCTCTATGTTGTATTTATTTTATGTGAAAATCAGATCAAGTCTCTCTAGGTCACCTCCTCCCCTGAACCTTTTTGTTTCTTCACCATGTTAGCTCAGATTTCACTCTCAATGTTTCTGGTCCTCCATGGAGGTTCCAGTTTTTCCAATCACTCTGCATGTGATTAAAGTCTCCTATACTAGGAGTTCAGCTTTACTTATTTTCGCCTGTTCTGCCACTGTCTCCAGCACTTCCATCATTGTCCTGTTACTCTGATCACACTCCTTTGTTTCCTGTTGTTTGTTGGTGGATTATTTATCACTGCCTCCGTTACCTCTGACTCTCCAGATATTACATTGTATACAATGTAATCTCTGAACTCTCATGTTTCCAAGTTTCCCAGATCTATAGTGATTTGTTTCCGTCAGTGCTACTCCTCCGTTGTCTTTTCCCTTCTCACTTTTGCTAGACCTCTGAGAAAATCGCATCTGTTATCAGCCCTGAGAATTCCATCTCCGTTATAGATATATCAAGGTTTTGTTTCCCAGCCCTTTCTTTCAGTATGTGATGGAAATGGTTTCTAAAAACCGACAATTTGAAGAATGAGACACATTTTCAAGATTTGGGAATCTTTAATGAGGAAGCGTTTCGTCAGCCAGTGGCTAAAGAAGCTACTGGATGGGGAAACGTTTCCTTTAATAAAAGTTCCAAAATGTTGCAAAAGTGTCTCATTGTCGATTTGATTATCATACTATGATTCTTCTATATCTTACTGTTTTCTGGTCTTGCTGATTACTTCATTTATAGCAGTACTGGGCAGGGAGTCTATGTGGAGTCCTGAGGATTTACCTGTACTCCTTCACCCTGTTGCTCTACTCCTTCCACGAAGGTATTTCCTTCCATGTTCCATTCCGATTTTGTCTTCCCCGTTCCCATTTCTACTTTTCTGCCCTTCCTCTTCCGTCCAGTCTTCTTTCAAGGATACAGTATCAAAGTTTCGATTTCTACTCAGATTTGACTTCCTTTTCGTTACTGAATTTCTCCCTCTGACTTCGTAAACACAATTCGTATTGGCCTTGTTCTCCCTATGCACATGTTCCTACCCATAAAAAACATATGGATTTCACTTGCCTCTATAGCTGCTCTTAATTTTTTCATCAGTTCTGCAATTTTTTGTTTCCTCGTGTACTTTTCTCTCTTTCATGTGTGTGTGTGTGTGTGTGTGTGTGTGTGTGTGTGTGTGTGTGTGTAATTTGTTATTCAAGGCTCAGTTAAGAGAAAACAAGACATACACTCTGAAGTGATCATTCTTAGTTTCTTCACTCACTGGTAATGGCTTTACTGTTACGTACTTTCACTGTCTTTGAAATTGCTATTCATTCTTCATTAAACTTGTAAACTAGACAACTGCTACTGTTTCTATCACTGATACTTCTGATGATGCTATTACTACTGAAAATAATTTTAATAACAATAAAAATAATAAAAATAAAAATGTATATTAATTATATGAAGCAGTGATAGTCGCTGTGCTGGTAGTCTGCTGACAGTTATCCTGAAAAGTATTCACTTTAGATAACAGCAGCTGTGCTGGCGGGTACAGTGGTCGAGGAGATTCCTGTAATGGTGATTGTCTCCTTAACGATGGTGCTACTTCTTACAAGAATGGAAGTAGTTATAGTAGTGGTAAACGCCGCTTCGGTGGCAGGTGAGGCGGCGGCGGCGGTGGTGGTGGTGGTGGTGGCTGTGGCTGTGGAGGTGGTGGTGGTGGTGGTAGGTAGTGGTGATGGCGATAGGTGGCAATGGTGGTGATTGGGGCGGTGTTAGTGATGATGGTAGGTTGTGGTTGTTGTAGTGATAGATGATGAGGGCGATAAGAGTGGTAGACAGTGATGGTGGTAGTAATAGTAGTAGTATCTACCTTCGATGGAACCACGAAAACAGTGGCTTTCACCGTCTTCATTGGAAAATTCACTGTTATCTTAATCTTCTGCAGCACAATATTTTGTCACCTCCACTTTCATCTTCAGTATCACCTTCACCGTCACCCAAATCTTCATTACCGCCTGTCCTTCCATAACCTTCATTTTCATCGTCACTTTCGCATTCATTATCATCTAATTTTCGTAGCGACCTGCTTATTCATCATCCTCCCATTCACTTTCACCGTCACCTGAAAAAGTAAGCATTTGTTAGTTGTACCCCAGCAAACAAATATATATACATATATATATATATATATATATATATATATATATATATATATATATATATATATATATATATATATATATATATATATATATATTGTCGTGCCGAATAGGCAGAACTTGCGATCTTGGCTTAAATAGCAACGCTCATCTTGCCATATAGGACAAGTGAAAATTCGTGTATGCAATAATTTCGCCAAAATCATTCTGAACCTAACGATAAAAAAATATTTCACTGGGTTTATTTAGTATTAGATTATTGTAAACAAAACTAAAATATATTTAGTTGGGTTATGCTAAAATAAATTGCTCTTGTTATAATAAGGTTAGGTAAGTTTTCTAAGATTCTTTTGGAGCAAAATTAAAATTTTTTACATTGACATTAATGAAAAAAATATATCTTTAAACGTATAAGAGAAAATTTTAGAAAGGACTTAATTTTAAATGAGTTCTTGCTAATTGACCAGTTTTACATATTCGGCATGACACACACACACACACACACACACATCATATATATTAATATATATATATAATATATATATATATTAATATATATATATATATATATATAATTATATATATATATATATCATGGTAGATGAGTTTGGTAGGGTATGTGAAAGAAGAAAATTAAAAGTGAATATAGGAAAGAGTAAGGTGGCGAAAGACTGGATATCAGATTGGAGGGAGTATGGAGGAGGTGAATGTATTCAGATATTTAGGAGTGAATGTGTCAGCAGATGGATGTATTTTGGAGTCTGTGGAGACAAAAAACTTTGTCCATGGAAGCAAAGAGAGGAATGTATGAGAGTATAGTTATACCAATGCTTTTATATGGGTGTGAAACATGGGTGGTGAATGTTGCAACAAGGAGAAGGCTGGAGGCAGTGAAGATGTCATGTCTGAGGGTAATGTGTGGTGTGAATATAATGGAAAGAATTCGTAGTTTGGAAATGAGGAGGAGGTGTGGGATTACCAAAACTATTAAGCAGAGGGCTGGGGAGGGGTTGTTGAGGTGGTTTGGACATGTAGAGAGGGTGGAACGAAATACAATGACTTCGAGTTTATAAATCTGTAGTGAACGGAAGACGGGGTAGGGTCGGCCTAGGAAAGGTTGGAGGGAGGGGGTAAAGGAGGTTTTATGTGCAAGGGGCTAAGACTTCCAGCAAGCATGGTGAGCGTGTTAGATAGGAGTGGAAACAAATGGTTTTTAGGACTTGATGTGCAGTTGGAGTGTGAGCAAAGTAACAATTATGAAGACATTCAGGTAAACCGGCAGGTCGGACTTGAGTCCTGAAGATGGGAAGTACAGTGTCTGCACTCTGAAGGAGGTATGCTAATGTTGCAGTTTTATAAGTGTAATGTAATCGCGCCTCTGGAAAGACAGTGATGGAGTGAATGATGAAAGTTTTTATTTTTCGGGGTACCCTGCCTTGGTGGGAGACGTGTTATATATATATATATATATATATATATATTATTATATATATATATATATATATATATATATATATATTATATATATTATTTATTTATTTATTTTGTAGGTAGTAGGTTGATAGACAGCAACCGCCCAGGGAGGCACTACCGTCCTGCCAAGTGAGTGTAAAACGAAAGCCTGTAATTGTTTTACATGATGGTAGGATTGCTGGTGTCTTTTGTCTGTTTCATAAACATGCAAGGTTTCAGGTACGTCTTGCTATTTCTTCTTACACTTAGGTCACACTACACATACATTTACAAGCATATATATATACACACCCCTCTGGGTTTTCTTCTATTTTCTTTCTAGTTCTTGTTTATTTCCTCTTACCTCCATGGGGAAGTGGAACAGAATTCTTCCTCCGTAAGCCATGCGTGTTGTAAGAGGCGACTAAAATGCCAGGAGCAAGGGGCTAGTAACCCCTTCTCCTGTATAAATTAATAAATTTACAAAGAGAAACTTTCGTTTTTCTTTTTGGGCCACCCTGCCTTGGTGGGATACGGCCGGTTTGTTGAAAAAAAAAAATATATGTATATATATATACACCACCTCTAGAACTGTACTAGAAGCCTCATCCTCAGAGAAGACAATAAATGTACTTCAGAGAAACTCAAAGTTCTTCTCGGAGCTGTTTCAATATTTTCTTCTCCTACCACTCCCTATATTCTATACCCTATGTGAACTCTAATTATAGACAGAAAACAATGACAAAAATGCACAAACATGAATACATTGGCACATTATATCTAAGATTACGAATCTCCTCCAGCTCCTCCGAAGCCGGACGCGAGCCAAGTATGCAGCAAGCATTTTCCCTGTGGATGGCCAAACACACACACACACACACACACGTGTGTTATATATATATATATATATATATATATATATATATATATATATATATATATATATATACACTACATAGTAGGTACAATTCAGTCTGGGGAACATAAAGTAGTCATTGGAGTGATGTATAACCCACCACAGAACTGCAGGAGGCCAAGAGAGGAGTACGAAGAAAACAACAAGGTGATGGTGGACACACTGGCTGAGGTGGCCAGAAGATCTCACTCGAGCAGAGCAAAGTTTCTTGTAATGGGCGATTTCAACCACAGGGAGATCGACTGGGAAAACCTGGAGCCACATGGGGGTCCCGAAACATGGTGAGCCAAGATGATGGATGTGGTACTTGAAAACCTCATGCAACAACATGTCAGGGACACTACCAGAGAGAGAGGGGAGGATGAGCCAACAAGACTGGATATTGTGTTCACCCTCAACAGTTCAGACATTGAGGACATCGCTTACGAGAGGCCCCTAGGAGCTAGCGATCACGTGGTTCTGAGTTTTGATTATATAGTAGAGTTTTAAGTGGAGAAGGTAACAGGAAATGAATGGGAAAAGCCAAACTATAAAAGGGGGGACTACACAAGTATGAGGAACTTCCTACAAGAGGTTCAGTGGGACAGAGAACTGGTAAGAAAATCAGTAAACGAGATGATGGAATATGTAACAACAAAGTGCAAGGAGGCAGAGGAAAGGTTTGTTCCCAAGGGAAACAGAAATAATAGGAAGACCAAAGCGAGTCCTTGGTTTACCCGAAGGTGTAGGGAGGCAAAAACTAAGTGCAACAGAGAATGGAAAAGGTACACGGGGCAAAGGACCCAGGAAAATAAGGAGATTAGTAGAAGAGCCAGAAACGAGTATGCACACATAAGGAAGGAGGCCCAGCGACAATACGAAAACGACATAGCATCGAAAGTCAAGTCTGACCCGAAACTGCTGTATAGCCACATTAGGAGGAAGACAACAGTCAAAGACAAGGTGATAAGACTAAGGAAAGAAGGTGGGGAACTCACAAGAAACGATCAAGAAGTATATGAAGAGCTCAGTATGAGATTTAAGGAAGTATTTACAGTGGAGACAGGAATGCCTCTGGGGGGACAGAACAGAGGGGGACACCAGCAAGGAATATTTCAACAAGTGTTGGATGACATACATACAAATGAGGAGGAGGTGAAGAAGCTGCTAAGGGACATCGATACCTCAAAGGCAATGGGACCGGACATCTCCCCGTGGGTCCTTAGAGAGGGAGCGGATATGCTGCGTGTGCCACTTACCACAATCTTCAACACATCCCTGGAAACTGGGCAACTACCTGAGGTATGGAAGACGGCAGATGTAGTTCCCATTTTTAAAATAGGAGACAGAAAAGAGGCACTAAGCTATAGACCTGTGTCACTGACGTGTATAGTATGCAAAGTTATGGAGAAGATTATCAGGAGAGTGGTGGAGCACCTGGAACGGAACAAGAGTATAAACGCCAACCAGCACGGATTTATGGAAGGCAAATCCTGTCACAAACCTTCTGGAGTTTTATGATAAAGTAACAGAAGTAAGACACGAGAGGGGTGGGTAGATTGCATCTTCTTGGACTGCAAGAAGGCCTTTGACACAGTTCCTCACAAGAGATTAGTGCAGAAGCTAGAGGATCAGGCGCATATAACAGGAAGGGCAGTTCAATGGATCAGAGAATACCTGACAGGGAGGCAACAACGAGTCATGGTAGGTGATGAGGTATCACAGTGGGCACCTGTGACGAGCTGGGTCCCACAGGGGTCGGTCCAAGGACCAGTGCTATTTTTGGTACATGTGCACGACATGATGGAAGGGTTAAACTCAGAAGTGTCCTTGTTCGCAGATGATGTGAAGTTAATGAGGAGAATTAAATCAGATGAGGATCAGGCACGACTTCAAAGAGACCTGGACAGACAGGACACCTGGTCCAGCAACTGGCTTCTCGAATTTAACCCCGCCAAATGCAAAGTAATGAAGATAGGGGAAGGGCACAGAAGACCGCAGACGGAGTACAGGCTAGGTGGCCAAAGACTACAAACCTCGCTCAAGGAGAAAGATCTTGGGGTGAGTATAACACCGAGCACGTCTCTGAGCATGTCGAAAAGGAGCCATTTTTTTTTTTAAATATTGAAGCCACGCAGCAGAAAGTTACTGAAGTTGGGAAGCTGGGAATGGCTTCAACAACTGTGATCAAAGATCACTTGTTAATGTCGGTTGTTCCTAGTTATCATACACAAATGCTAAAACTCTGATGGTTATCGGACAAGGTCTTCGCGTATTATATAAGAACTAATTGAGAACTAGAAGTTGGAGAAAGAAAAATGCCAAAAGTGAAATATAAAAAAAAAAAAACAGGCACCACTAAAAGATACACTTTTATGGATACGTAATTGTAAAAATTAACGTTTTAAGAATACTAATATTTAACCGTGTTGAATACCTATGCCAGGCACTGCAATGTGTCATTCGAGTGTATTAAGGTAGAGGGAACTGATGTTGTGCTGTACACGAATACCTTTCTCGGCTCACGCAACGATCGAATTATATCTACATCCTACCATCTCCTTCAATTCTGCTGTGCAGAATCGCTAAATAACTATTATAGGTTGAGCACTTTCC